AATTTATGATACTTAAAGCATCATCAGATAACCAAAGTTTTAGTGACCTTATTTATGTAAACTAAGTTGCACTTGTTGAAGAAACTGTAAAGAGTTTTGTTTCTGTTGTTATATCGCTCATCTAATCTTCTCTGGGTGCCGTGTCCTGTAGGGACATCAGGGGGCATCTCTGTCTGGAGGCATCAGAATGGATGGCTGTGATGCGCATCGAATAATTGCTGATGCTATCCTGATATCGGGACGTAACTCGGGGCAGACACTAAGATGGCAGACGGCAGAGCTGTAACCGAGAGGTCAGCTAATGCACTTTTGGCCAGGCGCTCCCTCTCCGCTCAAAAAGGGAGACGCTGATGACCTCGTTGGATAATGATTTCGATTGTTTATTCTCGCGTGCACGTGTACATCATAGAGGCAGAGCGGGTATTTGTGAGTGCAGGTGTTTGCGTTTCTAAATCGAGAGGCTGAGTCGCTTCCTGCCCCCCTGCAGTTGTGTATCTGCCGACTCTGTGCACCGCCAGCAGACCACAGGAACATTAGCAAAGAGCAGACATGCACCTGACTGGGCATAATCAAACTCTGCAACGCACGGACACCAGCAACGTTCATCTTTTAAAGGCCTTTATAGTCACTTTTTTTTCCCCTACAAAGACTATTCTGCATGTGCTCTTTCGCATACATAGTTAGAAAGCAGACATGTGCAGTAGATAGAGACAGCACACGGCAGCTGTAGTTTAAATTTTAGGCTCTCCACATGCATCTACTACTGACATCAACTACAATATTTCTAGGTGGCTGTTTGCCCAAGGACTAACTCATCTCTGGGCCCAGCTGACTTTTAAAATATGCAAACAAATCTGTTCAACAACCAAGTCCAAGGGGAAACTATCAACATAGGAAGAGTGAAGTTATACCTCTAAAATCAGCAAGACCTTAAAACTTAAAAACTCAGTGCTTCCTGATTTAAAAAAAAAAAAAAAAAAGTTCAATACTCTTTTCCAGTAGAGAGTCTGAATGATATTACTCAGCAATGTATTATTTCCAAACAAAAGCTGAATCACCACACTCCTCACTGTAATTTTTTTGCATATAAAGCTTTGGGTGAAAGCATTATCAATACTCAAAGGGCACAAATGTTCTTTGGCTTACTGTCTAAGCTTTGTTTAAGCTCTTCTCTCTATGGTTTTATTCCGAGCTCCTATTTATAGCCATTGAATTTGAACCTGATCCACAATGTCATGAATTGTTGATGTCTGTTTTTCTGTTAGGGGGCAAGAGTCCAGAATTCTGCCAAGAATCTGGGAGTGAGGGATCGCACACCGTCATCAGTCCCAAGGTAAAACTGCAGTCACGTCCTGTCCATGTGGGCTCACGTCAGCCTATTGAATTAAGGGGCCTTAACAGGCTTTGCATGTAATAGCCCATTATCTAGACATCAAGTCTGTGACTATTTTTTCAGTGTTGCATATATATGTTGTCATATGGTAATGTAGTTGCAAGCAAGAACTGTTTAGAATTTTCTTTCTTATTGGTGCTTTCAGGGACGTTCTGATTTGATGTTTTGCTAAGCTGCATTCAAATCACAAATGTCTGAAACACATAATTACTAAGTCACTGTGTTTGTCACTGAAGATGGAAACAAGCAGTAAGAAACGCCATTTTTTGCTCATGTGTATATTTTCAGGATTTGAAAACTCGGATCAACATTGATTAGTTTCTGTTGACTCTGTTGAATCTTGGATGGTCAGACCTTACCTGAACTCACCATGAAGGAGCTTTAAAAACAGCTCCTGCTCTCAACCAGTCTATCATTTGGCTGTAGCCTAAATTTGAAATAAAGTAGTCTAAGTGTTCACTTAAAGGTATTGAAATACATTTTTAAAAGTTGCAGTATGCTTTAAACTACTGATACAAAGTGTCCATAACAGTGTCTGTCTCTGTGTAGTCAACTGAAACCGGCTTTTTTGAAAAGTGCATGTATTTGTGCAGTTGAGTAGCTGTGTATGTGCTTTTTGTGCAGGGCTGTGGCCAAATGGTTCCATTAGAAGGGAGCTCCCTGTTCTCAGTAGCTCCAAGACGAGGACAAGGACTGCCTCAGCCATTTGGCTGTGACATATACGCTTTTGTGTGACAGGCAGCCCTTTTGAACCTTTTAGTGAAATTGACAAATACAATTAAGTAGCGGGATGATTAGTGTTGAGACATTGTGGTCGCAGAGCAAAATTGCTGCACTCTCACTAGGTTTATGTCATAATTGTTACAGCATGAGTGAGTGCTGTAGAATATGTAAGTGTGCTTTGTGGGTCATGAGATATGCTGGTTGTTCATAAAATAGAGATTCTCACCCTCACTGATGTGTAGATAAAAAAAAAAGGGGCAGTTATGTGTGAGTTTACCCAGTAGCCATGTGATGCAAAGTGAGTCCCTTCAAAACCAAAAAGATGTGAGTGATGCAACTGATTATTTAAAAAAGTAGAGCTTCAACTATGATGCAAGAAATGCAGCTGATAATGGAGAAATTTGTACTGAGGTGGGGAAACACTGATCAGTTATGAATTACACAAAATCAGTTGTTGCTGAAGTAATGTTTCCTGTTCATTAAGGCAGAATATATAATTCTTGACTGTGAGATGCGCACTGCTAGGATTAGAGTTTTCATGGACGTTATATGGATGCAGGCTTTCATACAAATGCCAACAGCCGTAACTACTGCACAATTCATGTGGCATTTAAAGCACAAAGTGTATAACCACTATACACTTTAGATTTTATATTTATAAAGACTGTCCTCATGAATGTTACCAGGCCTTAGTATATACGGTTTACTTGGTACCAACACTTGTGAAGGTGAAACTAAACTTTGAAGTCATTTTTTACTGTTTGAACATAGTTAATGTTGTTTGACTTTGTAGTGCAAAGCTGGATGTGCACTACTAAGGGTAATTATATCTCCATTGCTGACATCTTTCTTCTTGAAACTGCAGCTACATCTGGTTACATTTCCTTTGCAGCTAACAGAGAATTTTGTAGGGAAGAGAAAATTCTCACTGATTGATCATTGTGCAGTGTTTGTGGTACGATATATTGGAATGTAAATAAATACCATTTTTGCATGTGTGTTTTCTCTGATCAGGTTGTACAAGCTGTGCCTACCTCCACCCCCAGATGGGGACCCATAATGCATTGCATCCAGGAAAATGCTGAAGAAGTCCCGGAGTCCCAAGCATTCTGCTCTTTAAGTCGTTCCTCCACCCATGAAGAATCCACCTAATAAAAACCAGCTATTGAACATTTTTATATGTTCAGTATAGCTGCCTGAAGTGTAAATAGAAATTTGAAAACCGTAAATAGTATTTTTAATACTTTATATTTTTCACTGTTGTACTTTATACATATTTTGAAATTCTTTTATTGTATAATGCATCTGACAAGATGTTTCAAAGTGAGAAAACGTGAATGGAGTTAAATTAGCTCATTGAAATGGAATGAACCCCATCAGTTCACTGTCTGCGCATTATGGGCTGAAAATTATACTTGTTTTCATGAGGGACATTTGCATTTTATGTTATTAGTTTAATTTACATATGAAATGAGCAAGATAATACTGATGAAAAGGAGATTGGATGTAATTTGGCATTGTATTTGTTCAAATTAGCCAATAATTTGTCTGATTGCTCTCTGACCTGTATGCTTTATCCTCTCTGTCAGTATTTTGATAACCATATGAAAGTGTGTTTTGTAACATTCCTCAACATGATTTTTATTCGCTTGTAAATATAGAAATTTAGCAAAAATACGCTAAAAGAGTCATGCTCTTGTTTCCCACTGATTTTGAATTTCTATAACTGTTATATGCATGCATATAAAGATTTTCAATGATTTATCAGTATTAACATGTAATAGGTTTTTGGAAGTAGAGCTATGAGATATATTCTGTTATTTTATATTGACAGTACTCAGGATTAAAGTGTCTCTCTGTGTTACTTATTATTGGATGTTATCATTGTAGAGTTGATAACTAGCTCAATACTATGCAAACAACCAATTGATAATAAACTGCATCAATAAGCTCCAGTAGTGTTCCTGCATATATCATGTAGGTATGTCTCCGTTTCATCAATGTAAAAATGATGTTCGACTTTTGCTGCAGGTTTTCCTCAAAACACTACAATGTTGTCATGTAGAACCCTATACAGTATGTAAAAATATATTAAAGCTGTTAACAGTGGATGGACACGTGTAGTTTTTGCTCATGCAAATGACCCACACCACCAATATACCTTTAGCTCATTATCTTTGTTTTTTCTATAGTTAACATGTAGCTTAATACTTGCTTCATGCTAAACACTCATACTATATTAGTATTTTCTAACGATTCTTTATTGTGGTATACTTATGCTGTTGTTTTACCTTAAGTGGAAGAAGAATTAATTCTAGATGAAACAGAAAGACTTCACTTTCATCTTTTCTCACGCTAATTAGCAGAACGAGCTGCACCTGCTTAATCAGTGTGAACGTGCACGTGTTGCCGCGCATTTTATTAGCGTAAAATTTGCTCTCCTCGTTCAGGTGGATGCATTACAAGACACATAATTGCGCTGAGCACAGAAGAACACAGCGGGCTAACCAGAGCTCGTTGGATAAATGGGAGTGGCGGTGGCACATTTAACACCGGCAGCCAGTGAGCGGAAGATTTGTAATCTCTGTCACAGAGCTGCTGTACCATTGGCTTCTACCGGGAAGCTGCCGCCAGAGAGTCAGTGAGGCGACAAGCTGGGGACGGTCCCGGGCTGAGTCTCCACAATGAGCCGGGCTCAGAGCCGCCTGCTCCGCACTTGACGCAACCCGTCTGAACTTACCGTGGCTCCACTGCAGCCTCACTTGATGACATTTCTTTTTTCTTTTTTCTTTTTTTGCACATTTTAGTCGCCGAGACGCCCCTTGAAGGACGAATGACACCGACTCACCCCATGATTTCATCCTGCTAAAAGCTCTTGGCGAGGCACAACAGTTTCTTCATGGCGTCTCCACAACAGTCAAGAATTCAGTCGTATCTGGAGAAGAATAAAATCGGACCCTTGTTTGAGGTGAGTGTCCAAATTCATTTAACAACTCTGAACTTCTTGGATGCCAATTCAAAGGACCGTCGCTTTGCACCAGACAACGTTTATCAGCTTTAATTTATAGTTTGTGCTAAATGATGAGCGCACATCTGCAATGGGTGCTGTCACACTGGAGTAACTGAGGACACATTAAACTGTATTATTCCTCTGTATTATACACTTGTACTGTAGATGTTTAAGCAGTCGCCCGATAAAATGGAAACCCGTTTATTTGTCTGCACTTTTGTGTCAGGTTTGTCTTCAGACCGAGACGTCCCACTGCGCTCCCTTTTTTTAAAAACGAGATACTGGAGTGCAGAAACACATAGAGGAATACTGGCTGCTGTGTTTGCTCTCACATTTCCATGTTTAGCCCTTCCAGTGATTTACATTTCAAAAGATGATGAAATGAGATGAGATGATGTAGCCTACCCTGCCACTGCCTGACTCAACACTGTCACAGTTTGTTGAAGTTGGGGCCACTCAGGGAAGCCAGTTGTAGTTCATATTTCACACAGCTAAGCGTATGGCTACGGAAGATATAGCCCAACTACCTGCCTCTCTGTCTGTTTGTCAGTTAAGGGATCTATGTGTTCATCCTGGGGTATTCTCAGTGTGGCATTTAAGCAACCCAGGGGAGAGCATGACTTCATCCTTTTGTTTGCTATTGGATTTAGGCTATTGCTGAAAGCAGGACTGCACAGGTGTGAAGAATAGTCAGAGCAAAGATGGAAAGACAGACAAAACATTCAACTGTGTTTAGGGTTCAGATGCAGCCGATCTGTGGATCTGTCATTCTCAGTTAAACAAGAATGACAACTGGCACGACACCGGTAATATCACCATCACCGTGAGAAACGAATGGGGATACAGTAGACGTGCTCTGTGTTCGTGGCAAAGCAATATTCACATGCACATGATGCGTTTTGCAAAGTGCTGACGTTTCAGTTCTGTGCCTCATCTGGATATGTAGTAGCCACACACACACACACACACAAACATGAACCGCATGTTAAATGGATATGGGGGCAGTAACAGAGGCTTGTTTCAGCACCGTGGACAGAGAACATCATGCCTAACATGCATTTAACCAGTGAAGAAGACAGGAAATCTTATTGTGAGGCCGCAGCAGTCACTGGGGCTAAACTGCACAATGATAGTCCTCTGTGTGCTCTCTCTGTTTGTTTTTCCTCCCTCCATCTTCCTCTTCCACCTGTCTTCCCCTCTGCTCTCTGCCTCAGTTCTCCTGCCTGTTTTCTCTTCATTTTTTGCCTCTGTGCACAATTAAACTGTGTCTCCTTCATCTTACATTTGAAGATGATTAAAGTGCTTTGTGTGACTTTAAGGTGCTGCTTGTGGTGCTGATCAAATAACACCTTTGTTCCAAAGATCAGTGGGCTCATATGCTAAAGCTTGTACATGCTTGTCCTTAAGATAACATGTAGAGTTTTTATTCGGGCCAACAATGACATGGATCATTGCTGCGCTTTTCATAGTATTTAGACAGTGGATGGTATATTGTGAGGCTGAGCTGTGCAGGGTGGATTTGCAGGGGAAACTGACAGGTTTTTGAAGGTAGTGAGAAAGATGTATAGTAAGAGGAGATGCCTCTCTCCTCATGAGAAAATTATGTATCTGCTACCCTGGTGTTGCGCTTGAAATACCTTGGCCATTTCATTGTTGTTGCAATGAAAACCTATCCATGTGCATTCAGGTGTGAAGACACAAGCTTTTCTTTATTGGAAGAATCCAAGAGAGGGGCTGGAATTCTTCTTGTAACTTTCTTTCTGATCAGATGTAGAGAATTGGTGCAGCAGATGTAATCATACGGCCGTTCTGCTGTGCTGCTTAAACCAAAAAGACCTCACTGAAACGTTGATTGCCATTCAGACATGAGTACAACACTTGCTGGTAAAATGCATCAGTTGAAATGGCACAAAACAAGTTATAATTATAAGAGCATAATGCAGCAATATAAGCATTTTCTATTATCCATGGTTGCAAAGTGTATTACAATACACTGTACATAACATTCTAAAATGAACAGTATGATGGTCTTTGGTGTGATTATGGTGTGTATTATTGTAAATCCCAATGAGATATTTTTTTGATTTGGGGCTCACATGATTTGTGTTGGCTTACAGCACAGAAACCAACATGATGACCAGTAACGATAATAAATTGGCTTTAACCTGAACCAAAACCAATAATTAAAGGATATAGGCAATGCACTGCATGCAATACAGTGACACCACACTGCGAGTTTCCGCAGCAAATGACATCATTTCCACAGCAAGAATAAATGGATTGCCTCCCACTGATCTGGTTGGTTTCCATGTGAGCAGAAAAAACGGCAATCTTTAAAAGCGTTATTCATTTAAAAGGTGATCTTACTTTAGTTGTACAATAATTGCCTAAATATATTTATTGAGGAGCATAAACAAATGCCCCCACAATATTTAATGTATGAGTATGTAATGTAGCATTATGTATGTGCATCTCGGATGCATGAATGTTAAAGAGTTTGCTCTCTGTATCAAATTAACACCCTGGGTTTCTTACTTCATGTTGCGTAAACACCCCCTCAGTGTAATCAATTTCTTTACCACAAACTGTTCTTTCTCTTTATTTCTCTCTCACACTCATCTGCAAAGCCCCCATCACTTCTTCCTCACAGACAGCACATAGCTGCAGCATTAAAGCGTCTGTGTAACAGGAGCGGGGGTTCATTTACTCACACTGATGAGACACAGCTTATGATTTGCCAGAGAATTGATTTTCTTTTTTCTTTTTTTTTTCTCCTCACTCACTAATGAAATGGTTGCTTTGTGGAGATAGCACGCTGAGTCAACACCAGTGGAATATTATCTAAAAAGTGAAGCTGCCTTTCATAATAATTGAAGTAATTGCACCCCAGATTGTTGTCATCTACTTGATATTGATATTCTTTTCAAACACCTACTCTTTCTCAATCACTTAATAGTTAAAGTGCAGCATGACCTTTCATATGTGTCTGTATTGTCATGAGTATAGACATTAAAGTGGAAGACCACATGTTCACATTCCTTTTGTTACACCCTGTGTGATACAAATAGTAAATAGATACAGCAAGCATATGTGTGTTACAGCCTTATTGCAACATACAAAGGATAAAAGTCACCTGTGTCTGGCATTGTCATTGCAACAGAATTACTTCAATTGTATGACAGAATCTGTGGAATTCCTTATTCTTTGTATTATCAAAGAGGATCTGCAGGATTTATCTGTAAACTTTTGACATTTAAACTATGTGTAACAACACCAGTGAGTTAAAAAAGGAGCAGTCTTTGCCTTTATCACAGACGGTATTAAACTCGCTGTGATGTTCCTCCCTGCTGTGATCTGTCAATCATCTCGAAAGCAATATTACTGCTCTATTAGAAGAGTGAACTGGTGGGTCATGTAAGTGTAGTTTAGACCGAAAAGTGTCACTGGATTGAACTGAAATTGGTGTAATAGTCAAATGTTGAGTTATAAAAGTGCACTGGCGAAGAATTGGTGCCATTGTTCATGACAAAATCTGTATTTTTCTTTAGTGACTTTAAAACCTTGAATATAGTTCTGCTAATAGGGTTAAGAGTATTGGTCTTAGCTCAGGGCTTTTTACGATCACTTGCTGATATTAATGAAGCCCTGATGAGTGATAAACTGGATTGGTATTGGCGCTGATACAAATTTTATTAAATGGATCAGGTTGGCATTACTGTTTCTTTTTAGAGATTTTATTGTTGCACAAAAGCGCCTACAAACATGCACAGTGTGCATGAAAAGCGCCGATGCACATAAAAACATTAATACAGCAATAATCCAATTAATCACTTTGTGCTTTTCTTATCATTGATATGCAACACATTTTTCTCTCTCCCTGTTATAGAAATGTGAAGTCACAGCCTCAGATTTCCTCTCAGACAGAAGAATGACCCTAATTAGTTCTGCACAGTGAAAATTACGGATTTGAAATCGATAAGTAAAAAGAAAAGAGCACTGGTACTGAATCTGCACTCAGTTTCAGCCAATACCTCAAGTAACGGTGTAGGATTTCAAATCGGTAAGCTGCTCAGTTTCTACTATTGATGTTGCTACTTATAGTGAAGTGAAATGACTTTGCTCTGAGGGAATTATACAGTATATTCATCCACATGGAAAAAGGTTCACTCCAGCCTGCTCAGCTATGTAGTTCTTCTAATCTGCTATGCTCGGGGTCTCAGTAGTGCAGCACTGCAGCACTGGAAAGGAGTCGGTCTGTCCAATCAGGACACACTGCCTGACCTATTGATCCACTCCCTTAAGGGATAATTTATTGGACTTGGTGAGAATGGGTTCAAGCTATTTTCACCTACTGTACTAGCAGTATACTCTGTCTGTGTTTCCTAGTGAAATAATCTTATTTCTGTGTGCATGTAACTTGTTTATTGTCTTTTCTTTAACCATAATTCCTGTAGAGAAATTGAAGATTATCTACCAACTGTGCCGCAGATTATCAAAGTCAGGATTTGTTATTCTAGACAAAACATACGCAGCCAGTTTAGCACAAGCAGAGAGGATGAGTTCTACATCCAGAGGAATGCATCAGAGGTCTTATTACATCTCCAGTACAAACACACCTTGAAAACATTTCTCTGTGACAGGGTTAGTCCGTCATTGGCATACCTCCCACACATTGGGTAATAAAAACCCAGTAAGTTTTTCTCAGTGGTCGTTTGCTTTGTTATTTCGTTTGTTTATTTTTTTCACCTCATCCTCCAATTCAAAGCAAACATTGCAAAATGAGGTTGGCTGTTACAGTATAAATACTGGCCATTTAATATTGATATATAGTCTAATGAGAGAACTGAGGTGCTTTTCCCATACTCCAGAGCAGGAGTATCACCTCACACCTTCATGACTAACTATAGTGTGTCTAATGAGCAAAAGTATGATTTGGATTCTCTCACTTTTTTTGCCCT